AAAAAGGTTGCGTTTGGGCAGCAGCTGCCTCCACAGCACAAGCATCTTCACCGTGTGACTGAAAGTGAGCTGCGGCAGCCATTTTGTGGCTGGCCCTGTCTCCCGTGGCAGCCATTTTGTGGCAGCCATTTTGTGTCAGAATTCCAGTGGTGCCTGAGGGCTCAAAGAGGTTGGGGGGGGCCTGCTGTAGACACTGGGTCCTCGGGCATCTGTGGGGTGAGAGGCAGCAGTAGGGCAACAAAATAGGAAAACAGCAACCAGGGAGGGGGGACACAGATGGTGGCCAAGCCCAGCTTGATGAGATATGTTACAGTTTGGGGAACCATTTGCCAGCTCTGGTGGTGTTATTTGGGAGCCGGGGGGGGGGGGGGTGGCCCTTACATTCACTTCTTCAATAGCTGCCATTGAATGCATAACTGTATGTGAACAACATAATTGAAATGCCATGTAAAGCTTCGTCCTGGGCTAGGATCCTAATCCATCCAATTGTATTGGTAGCCCAGGAAGAACCAACCAATCAGGTACCAGCAAGCTCCCTGAGCGGGAACGTCTATGATTGGTCGTTATGGAAACAATCTTATTGGTTGGTATTGTACAGTAAGGCGTGGCTACATTAGCCGGGAGAGTTTAAAAAGGGAACAGCTTTAATGCAAAAAGGAGTGTGTTCCACCAGGTTGGGCCCTGGCCCTAGCCGAGGCCAAGCGGATGTCTTTTGGGTCAGGGACTGTCAGTGGATACTGCTCTGCCTAGCGTAGAGCTCTACGGGGCACATATGGGGAGAGATGGTCCCATAGATATGCTGGTCCCTGGCTGCATAGGGCCTTAAAGGTTAGCATCAACACCTTGAACTAGACTGGGTACTCAACTGGAAACTAGTACAATTGGCGCAGTACCCAATAAGCAGATGCCAGCATGCAGGGGTCATTCCGTAGAAAAAGAGGTGCAGGAGCTCATAGCATAACTCATTTGCGGCTGGCTTGGCTTGGAGAAGGGATTTAAAGAGACAGATGTCTTCTCCAAGCTGGCGGGGGGAGGGGGCCCTGGTGGACTCTATGGCTCCATGCCCTGCTGGGGTCCCTCCCCTGGCTGAACCCTGCCTTCCGCAGGCTGCGCCCCCCAAATCTCTAGGAAGTTCCTGAGCCAGAACTTGGGACCCTGTCTCAGTTAGATTCCAAACACCCCCAAAACTGTCACTGGAGGACTCATTCCTCGTGTTGTAAAGTCACACGGCGCAAGGACACGGCGCAAGGAGGCCTCTGGCATTCCCTTACCATCGGGCGATTCTCTACACACGGCCGTCGCAAACCAGAGGAAAAGATGTTCACTCTGGAAAAGAGATTTTCAAAAGCCCTAGCACCTTTGCTTTTAGGCAGGGCTTTTTTTGCAGAAAAAGCCCAGCAGGAACTCATTAGCATAATAGGCCACGCCCAACAGCAGGAACTCATTAGCCTATCAGGCCACACCCCCGACAGCACAGCTCATTGGCATATTAGGCCACACCCCCATGTTACCAGAAGTGTGCTCATCCAGCCACACCCACCTTTTGTTTCTTATTCTGTTTACCTTGTTTGTTGTCCAAACCCAGGGCTTTTTTTGTAGCAGGAACTCCTTTGCATGTTAGGCCACACACCCCTAATGTAGCCAATCCTAATGAGTTTCTGCTGTTGGGTGTGGCCTGTTATGCTAATGAGTTCCTGCTGGGCGTGGCCAACTCAGGAGCCAGCCGGAACTCCGTTCCTGTGCGTTCTTGCCCAAAAATAGCCCTGCTTTTAGGAGACAACATTTCCCACCCACCCCCAGAAACTCCAGCAACAAAATTATTGAGGGCATGTGCAGAGTGCCTTTAGTTTATCAGTGATGTTGCAAGTCTATGCATGTCTGCCCCAGAGTAGGTTCTCCTGTCCTCAGCAGGATTCACTCTCAAGTGAATGGGCATAGACCTGCATACTGGACTGAAGACAGTTTGGTTTTCATTGGGAAAGAAAGTTTGGAGTGGAGAAGGGAGGAGAAGAGTCCAGTTTTCGGTTTGACCATTGGGCTGCTGGAAGAGTTTTCTTCCATGACCAAGAGAAAAGGCTGAAAGTCGAACGATGACGACGGTGCCTCACGGTGAAAGAAAACGCGTTGGGGGTATCATGGTTAGCACAGCTGCCTTCCAAGCAGTTGACCTGGGTTCGATTCCCGACCGGCGCACAAAATTTTAAGGCAGGGCTGTGGCATCTGCTTGGTGTGCAGAAGGTCCCAGGTCCAATCCTTAACATCTCCAGTTGGAAAGATCAGGTTGTTGGGTAATGTGAAAGACCCCCACCTGAGACCCTAGAGAGCCACTGCCAGTCTGGGCAGACAGTACTGACCTTAATGTCCCAATGATCTTATTTCAGTATACGGCAGCTTCATGTGTTCAGACACATTCTCCAGGGTGGGGGTCCCCAACCTTTGGGGCAAGTGATGCTCCGTCTTCTTGGTGCTGGGGTGGGGGCAACAGTGGGAGGGCTTTTGGTGTCCTGGCCCCACTGCTGGACCTCCTGACGGCACCTGGTATTTTTGGCCACTGTGCGACAGAGTGTTGGACTGGATGGGCCACTGGCCTGATCCAACATTGGCTTCTCTGATGTTCTTATGTAAAACTGCTGCCACTGCCGCAATAGGCCATCTCGAGACGTAGACCTTTAAAACTCCTCTCCAGGCTTTCCCCTCTAACAGAAAATGGCTGCCTCCTTCTGGCACTGGGCGACTCTGCATCTGGCATTCGCTCCACATTTCCTCAACACCAAGGAAAAGATGCAGCTCAAACCCACATTCAAATATGCCGGGCCAATGCCGTACTGACTGAAAAGTCACCCCTGAACGCCCATAAATCTATGCAGAAGGTGCCATAAAACCTGATGGTCAAAGAAAGCGGAAGCGGCATGGAGTGTGGAGGGGGCCATAAAACCCGATGATCAAAGAAAGCGGAAGCGGCATGGAGTGTGGAGGGTGCCATAAAACCCGATGGTCAAAGAAAGCGGAAGCGGCATTCATAGCAGAGGGGAATTTCTGTTCCAAGGTGGGTTTGGTAAAGCAATGGAGGGAAAAGTCAGTGCAGACTCGCCCACTGAAGGGTCAATGGCTTCATGTCCACAGTGAAAATGATCATAGAAAAACACCCTGGATTGTCTTCAAGCCAAGGCCTCTGATTGGTCTCCCCCCCCCCATCTTTCCTGGAAAAGAAGATTGACAATCCTGGCCAATGGCTTCTGATGGATCCGTTGTCCAATCAGAGGGACCCGTAAGGACAGCTCCCTAATGAGGGATGTAACTGCCCTGGCGTGGACAGGCACGGCATAAAGGGAATGAAAGCTGTGTTTTGTGTAGGGTTGCCAAACTCCAGGTGAGGACTGGAGATCTCCTGGAATTACAACTGATCTCCTGAGTGCAGAGATCAGTTCCCCTGGAGAAAGTGGCTGCTGTGGAGGGTGGGCTCTGTGGCCTTGTATCCCAATGAAGTCTCCACAAACCCCACTCCATACTTTGAACTTCAGATGCCTGGGTTTTAACCTGGCACATGCAAACAGGACTCCGGGACCAGGTTCGCCAGGTCCAGACTGGCAACCACCAAGAGAACAGGGGTGGTGTGTGTGTGTGACACGGGTGGATGACAGCAGCAGCATGACGTCACTTCTGCAGAAAATCCAGAAATGACATGAGTCCCCTCCATGAACTGTCAAAAAAAAAAATCTGTGGTTTCACCATAGAGTTTCTGGCGATTGCTAGGAAAGCATGATCAACACTCCCTCTAAGCTCTGGAGTCTTCTGAGCAAAAATTTTACTTCGTGAGCTCAGGGGTCCTTCCCTGCAGGAGCGCACATGAGCTCCGGCAGTAAAGAGCCCAGGGGCGGGCACATGCAACAAGCCCTGCCCCATGCTCCCAGCAGCCCTCAGTCAGAGCAAGAAACAGCCAGGTAAGTTGCTGAGCCCCCCCCGCCCCCCAGCCCAAAACAGTCCAGTGGCACCTTTAAGACCAAGTTTTATTCAGGTACAAGCTCTCCCTCCTCTGCGAGGACAGATCTGCACGTTCTCCCCCCTCCCCCCCAATAGCTAGCAATCCAAAACAGTCCAGTGGAGCCTGAGCAGTGGGTGTTGCCTTCTGACACACTTCCGGGTGATGTCAGGGTGTGTGGCATATGCAAATAAGTTATGCTAATGAGTTATGCTAATGAGCTCCTGCCTCTCTTTTTCTACGAAATGACCCGTGTGAGCTAGTAGCATTACAGTTGTGAGCGAGCGATTTGGTGGGTGCATCAGTTAGTTTGCTCTGGAGCCCTCCTTCCTGAGTGGAGACAAAAATCTGTGAGCCGGAGGCTTAAAAACTGTGAACTAGCTCACACTCACTCAGCCTAGAGGGAACACTGGCCATGATGTCACTTCCGAGTTTTTCTGAAAGTCATGTCAAGTCATTGCTGCCAGGGATTTCTTTATTTTCCCCTCTACTGTAGTGCCAGCAGACAAAGCCTACTGGGGGAGGGACAAGAAGAAGAGATTGGATTTATACCCCGCCCTTCACTCGGAGTCTCAGAGCGGTTTACAATCTCCTTTCCTTCCCCCTCCCCACAACAGACACCCTGTGAGGTAGGTGGGGCTGAGAGAGCTCTTTCCAGAACTGCCCTTGAGAGAACAGCTCTGGAATAACTTGTGACTGACCCAAAGTCACACCAGCAGCTGCATGTGGAGGCGCGGGGAATCACACCCCGCTCTCCCAGATCAGAGTCCGCACTCCTAACCACAACACCAAACTGGCTCTCAGGGAGATGTGGACATATGGCGACACTAGCTGTGACTCAGGTCCAACAAACTATCTGGGTATTAAGTACCTGTGAATCCTATAGGAACTGAGTCAACTGATAAGCCAATAACCAGAAGCCATATTTTAAGTTCTATGCAAACACACAGATTTATTGTTGCCTTTCCTTGATTCCTGGGCAACAAGCCACCTCTGGTGTGCTGGGTTCATTCAGCTTCTCTCAGTAGCACTTCCTGTGGACAATGTACGGCCCATGCTCATGATACTGTTCCTTCCGAACCCAACATGGCTGGAAGTTTTTCAGGGAAGCCAGAATAGAGCCCCCAGTCCAGACAGAATACTTTCTCAGCGGGGTGGCGGAGACTTTCACTTTTGTATTGGTCTGGAGATTGGACAGAAGCTCGTTAGTGAATCTCTTTTCGAGTCCTTCAAAGAGGGACGACCCTCCACACAGCATGATGTTTTCATACATTTCCTTTCGGGTCTCTTCGGGGACCTTCCTCAAGCTTCTTTGGGCCATGCCGTGGATCCCTACGAGACTGAGGCCAGG